AAAAAAAAAGAAAATGGTTTCCTTCATTTCTGCTGTTTCATTTCTCATCGTTCTTTAATTTCTTTAAAGTTATCTTTGACTATTGCACTTTGTTGGTATTTTCGCATTATTAAATGTTCATTTATTTTTTGCTGATGTTTCTGCTTTGCTTCGCTATTTGGTTCGGAATTGTCATGTCATGTTGGCAACGTTTCACCCTTATATCGCACTTTTTATACATGGATATGTATGTGCATACCTATGTACATACATTTTATAAACGATTGTTATGTTTGTTTTATCTTTGTTTTTGGAACTATATACAAGGAAAAACTATTCGCGGTGGTCGCGTGGCAGAGCCGTTATATGAAGCACGGTTAACGGAATAGAGGCTGCCGTTAAAGAGGTGCTGTCTAAAATTGCAAAAGCGCCGTTCAAAACATAATACATTTTTATTAAAAATTGCGCTGTCTAAATCTATGCCAAAAATTTATAATGGTTTTGAATATTTGAGAAGCCATTGTGGTAATTATCTAGTTGGGCTTTCAATCCCCAAAATTTTTTGTTAATAACTTTTGATCGGGTAAAAAAAAGTTAATTTTCGCTTTCGGATTCTTGTTATTGGGGTCCGGACGGGGGTCCAGACGCGTCTAATGGTACCTCCTTTCCAATATTTTGACCAATTTTGGGGGTTGAAAGCCCACGTAGATAATTACCGCCATTGTTTATACAAACATGTGTATAATAATCGAATGATGGAATTTCGTATATAGTTTTTTATTGTTTTATTTGTTTTACTGTCTCAATATTTATTATTAGTGGTATTCATCTAAACCGATAACTATCAAGCAGATATCCTTATAAATTTAAGCATTCTGCTACATGAAAGCCCCATACCCTCTTCGTTTACACTTGCAACAAAAACCGTGTTTTCTTTGGTTATCGAGCTCAGTATCACTAATTTTATACTACTAGCAGTAGGTTCAATAAATGAGATAATGCCCATTAAAATAAATATTTAACATAAAGGCGATTTATTTGAAGTAAGTTAAAAAGAAAAGTTTGTGTATGAATTCATTCGTCAGTGCCACCATACTGTGCAGCCAAGTTATCAGTGAAACTAAACAAACAGAACATCATAAATTTGACCAGATCTCTATCAGGATCATATCGTTGTTGTATTTGCGTGCAAAATTTTTATGCGAATCCCGATTATTTCCCACGAAAACACAGCTAGAGCAGTGACAGAGTGGCGTTGGCTTCAGTTTATCATGTTTCCTCAGTTAAATCGCTGCAGAAATTTATCAGAAATGTGTAAACGAGTTTCCATACAATTTTCAGTTAATTTATAAAAGTTGTGTTCCAGATGCTTCACGAATTGCAGGTTTTTACGGAAAGTAGTTCCCGGTCGCCACCTTCCATAAGGTTTATGACCCTATTATGTATGGTGACTGGGGTCTAGTTGCTGGTCTAGTAGCCATGGCTACTAGTATCGTAATTTGTATTATGTAACAAATAACAAAATCGTCGTAACAAAACCATGCGTAAAGTTTATACGGTTTATTATGTGTATAGAACGAATAGTCAGCAATGCTTATTTTTGCACCGCATAATCTACCATACTAGTCTATATTTTCTCATTTGGCCAGTAAAGTAAAATCAACTGATCAGGCAATAAAGATTGATTGACTGACTGCACTTTCATAGAGCACTGTTTAATCTGTTCCGCCTATAAAACAGATTTTTTTTCCTAATCTGAAAAATTTCCAACAAGGAATTTCGATTTGTAGTACAAGAAATCTATAAAATCTATATATTAAATAATTTTCATCTTCTTTAAGCTCATAAAAAATACTTTCTTCTTTTATTGCAGTTCGCTCTTTTGGAACCGAAGACCGGGAGACTCAGTTTCAGATTGCACCACAAAGCCAAATCTATGACTACATTCTTTTCCGCGGTTCTGATATCAAAGACATTAGAGTCGTTAACAACAGCCTTCCCCATCCCAATGACCCGGCTATAATGCAAGTACAGCTACAAAATGGTCAGCATATGATGCCACATTTTCCCATGCCCAATATGAACCCACCGCATGCACCACCGATGAGTGCAGTTGGAGGTTATGGTAATCCTTTCGGTATTGGCGCACTGGGCATTGGTGGAGCTGGCGGTGGAGCACCTTCGCTAGCTCCTGGCACTGGCGCACCTGGGCCATACATGTTGGGTGGAGGTAACCAGCAGCAACAACAACCACCGCAGCAACCGCCCCAGCCACCACAGCAGCAACAACAGCAACAATCGAAATCCCAGCAGCAACAGAAACAACCAAGTGAGTTACTTCCCAGCAACAGCAACAACAGCAATCTGACCCATCTTCAGCAACAAGATCAAATGCAGGAACCACCACAACAGCAGCAACAATCAGTGCATAATAAAACAATTGCATCCACTATACCGTCGAATCAAACCCAGTTGCAACAGCAGCAGCATAATGATTCTAATACTTCAGTCCACTTAAATATAACGCCAACGTCGAATACTTTAAATCTAGGAGCGATTGGTAGTGTTGCTAGTATGATTGGTAGTAATGGTAATAGCGGCATCATCGGTGGTAGTCGCATGGCTAGCGGCGGTATCGGCCTGATTGGCGGTTTACTTGGTAGTGGTGGAGGTACTTCTGCTGGAAGCAACAGTACAATTTTAGGTGCAGCTAACAAAGCGAAGAAAATATTACCTCAAACGGCACTTAACGAACCCAAAGATCAAGGTGTGATGGTAACGCCGCTCCTGTTTTGGAGAACATGTGATTTGTGCGATTTTTTTCGGTTGTTTTTGGTTTAGTTTGATCCTTTTTATTTTAATTTTCCACAATTTTGTGCTATTAATTCCACTCATCACATAGCATTGTATATTTTGAAATTGTAATATCAAATATCGCTATATAGTTTGGAATTTACTTGTCGAAGATTTTACTGAAGAATGTAATTTTTCATATTAGCAAACTAGCATACTAGAAAAAACTTTTATTTTCCATTTGTTTTCAAACTGTCATAACAAAGTCTCCTTGATTTAAAGTATGCGGTCTTTGGAATCATTTGGCAAGCTCCAAATACGACGTCTGTTTGTTGAATAAAAAGCTTTGTATTGATACAAGTCTTTATACATATTCAACTTTCATGGAGTTTAAGACTCACTATTATTTGAAATACATACATACATAAGTACCTGAAATATTCCTTTTTCTTATGCTATACTCTGAAAATTCAGATGATGAAAGAAACTTGAAAGAAGAGTAGTAGTGAACAAGTCTTTAAACTTGTGATTTCACTAGTCATTATTAGTACGACACAGCTCGTTTAGTTACATATTTGAAAATAGCTTGTAGTTCATCAAACGCGATGTTGAATATAGTCCCAAACATGCTGCTTTCCTGCACTGTGGTATGCTTCAATCGAGATATTCTTTGCACATTGTTTTTAACTTAGATACATCTTTTTAATGATGATTTTTTATACTTTTATTTTTATATATCTCACAGCACAGGAATTGTATATTTATTTTGATTTATAGTAAAATGTAAAATAAATAAATAACTTTTTTTTAGACACGATTGCCGGCGCATCACGCTCAACGACGCCAATGAGCCATGTTTCGCTGAAAAGTGATTCGTCTGTACCCAATATGCTTGCTAATCCCAAGAAAAAACCGGCTCCTCAGAATAAGAATAGTGGACATGGTGGCAGCTCACACGATGCAGACAACAAGCGACAAAATCACCAACAGCGCGGTGGCAACAATAATCAACGCAACAATAACAGTGACTTCCATGAAAAGTACCGTGTTCGACACGATTCTGGTGGCTATAGCTATCGGCATCATGAAATGAGTGGTGGCAACAATTATGGCAACCAACGTAATAACCATCAACGCGGGGGTGGTGGCGGTGGCGGTGGCGGCGGTCAAAACCATGCTTGGACCATGCACCGCGGCAACCCTAACAATGGTAACAACATGATGGTCCGCAATCGGGGTGGCGGACGTGGTCGCATGCAAAATCAAGTGAGTATAAAATTTATTCATAGTTGATACCTCGCCTGTTTTGAAAGTCTTCGTTTGTAACTTCAGAAAACAGTAGCTTAAGAGCTTAATGCTTATTACTTTGTAACATTTTAGAAAGCTATTTTTAAACATTTCGTTCGTTTGCTTTCAGGGCTATCGACCAATGGGCGGTCCCGGTGGTAATCAAAATAAACCACGGAATCCGAAGAACACAATTAAATTCTTACAAGATTTCGACTTTGAACAGGCCAATGTTAAATTCGAAGAGCTACGTTCCCAACTGTCCAAACTCAAGGTGGGCGAAGAACCCAAAACCGAGCAGGTATTCATTCCTTTTATTTTGCTTATTTCGCTTATTTTTATTTTTACAAATTAGTTTATTTTGAATTATTAATAATATAGTTTTTTTTCTCATTGATATACATATGTATATAAGTATGTATGCCCCTGAGTGTTTTCAATTCATGCTAATAGATTTGTGTGATCTTGATATACAAATCATTGATTTATGCTATTGCTTCTTATGTCCATATTTTTTATGATAGTAATGTTGATTTTGTTTGTCTGTTCCGTGTTAAAATTTTGAAATAAAACCACGAGTTCTGTTTCACAGATGAATGGCGAAACAGATAAAAAGGACGATTCCGGCAACGAGACTGGTGCCGGAGAGCATGAACCGGAAGAGGAAGAAATCACTGTTGGATACGATAAGACAAAGTCCTTCTTTGATAATATTTCATGCGAGGCAGCACAGGATCGTAGCAAGAACAAGAAGAATGACTGGCGTCATGAACGCAAATTGAATAGTGAAACATTTGGGGTCTCATCGACAAGACGCGGCGGGTAAGAAACTGGAGTTAAAAAAAAAGAAGCTTATTATAAACTTTCAATAAACTTCCTTAACCTTACCTTTTCTTCTTTGTGTATCATTTAGCTATCGTGGACGTGGCAACTATTACAATCGTAATATGGGCTCTTATGGTGGCGGTTATAATCGGAATTATCGTGGTGGCAACCTTTATCGTAACCGTGTCAGAAATGCAAATGCCGCATCTAGCAATGCGAATGGCGGCACTTCTAATACTTCTAATACTAATACCGGTAATCCCGGTGCATCTAATAACATTAACAATGGTGCCAACACAGCTTCAGCACTGAAAAACTCGGTGCCACAACCACAGCCATCATTTTCAGCGACTGTTTCAACGCCAAATGCCACGAAATCGACAACTGTGGAAAATAGCAACACACCTCAGCCAACAGCAACTGGTGGAGTTGGTAAGTTGTGCCATTTAATTTAATAATTAAAATAAAATAAACGACAGTGTCGAATCGTCAGTGTGGTAAAAGGAACCTATGCAAAAAAACCATTATAATGCGGCCATTTACTGTTGTTTTTGTTATAACATCATACAAGTTCTCCAAACAGTTTTTGCGGAGTGTTACTGGACTGACAGTCCTTGGCCAGATATAAATCTGGGTCGTTCCGGTTACGTAGACCCGACTGTCGTGGAAACGCCATTTTCTTGTTTAGCTTTATTTGATCGCAGGCTACCAGTTTTATATCTCATTAAAGAAATGTAACTAAAATGTACATAACTTTTTTTTTTTTGCAGGCCAATAATGATTACAATTCTGAGAAACTAACAAGAAGGCATTAATAAATACAATAATAGCACCAGAAGCCACAAGAAATCAACAAATATCAAATATATCAAACACAGTACACAAATGAAAACATCATTAAAAAGGTTTATAAGCATCATCAATGGCAAAGTAAAATAAAATAAGGAAGAAATATTTTTAAATTTTTTGCTGACGTCCTACGCTCCCAATGAGAACAGACAAACGAAATCAAAATTTACTTTACAAAATATTTCTTCCAAGAACTCGGGATGCATGCTAAGATGTTTATTGCTGAGCATCAACATTAAATTTTTCGGACCAATTTGAGCGAAAAAAGGGCGCCAGCAATACACGATTAATATTTGTAATGATGATTAAGTACATACAGAAGAAAAAGCAAACCATTAATAATACAACGGAGAAACATTCAATGATGATAGTATAGTTAGTTTCATTAAATATGAAACAACTAAGTCCAATCGAACGAAAGGCAACAAAAGTAATAAAAAAAAATATTAAAAGAAATGAAAGAATTTGTATGTTATAAAAATGAAATGAAATTGATTTTTAAGAAGGAAAACAACTTTAAATGAATATAAGAATGTACTGCTCTAAAGAAAGAAAGAATTGCTTATCATAGTGAAGTTAATGGATGTAATTACACGAAAAGGAAGAGCGAAAGTAAAGCCAGATCGATTTGTATTGCGAAAATGGTGGTGGTATGCTTTTCGACACGAAGCATACGATTAAGAAAGCATTTACAAACATTAAAACAAAAAGGAAATAAAATTAGAAATATAAATACGTCTTTTGTGCTGAATCCTTAATTAAAAGCAAAAAAAAACATACAAAAAGAAAAAAAAAACCATTAAATTTATAGATTAAATAAAAAAGTAATTTTAAAATTATGCAGAGGATGAGAGTGAGCCAATTAAGAGGAGTATAAATTTATAAAACTATTAAAGAACATCAGGTTAATACAACAGTTAAAATGTCGATACCGACCATGATTACTAAGTACTCGTACACATACTTGTAAGTTGACTGGCCTATAATACTGAATTAATTCATTCAGAGTAAACAATTAATGAAAGGGAACAACCTTTTTAAAGCGCACACACACACCCATACATATGCGAAAAGCAAAACGGCATCGAATATATATGGCTGACGGCGACATTATCAACTGTGGTAAATTAAGGCAGAACTGAGTTTTAGGAATACAGCTTAAAGCATAGCGGATAGCAGCAGCAGCGCAAGAGACCATAGAGATGGAAGGAATGTAAAATTCTAAGAATTTTATACCAGAAATCAATACAACTTAAATTTTTCAACTCTACAACTACCATTATTGTTTTATTTTTAAGAGTTAAAATATTTTAAAACATTTACAATTAAATTGAAAAGCTGTAAAGCTACACGTTTGTTAACCATAGCACACAAACACATCTATTAAAATTGAAAATGACGTAACTATGCGCATGCGCATATAAATAGATGCAGTTAGGTGATGTAGCATACGGTTTGCAATTTCAGATGTATTGGAAGTTGTTATTTGAAAGTTTTCCTTTGCAATAGCACGTCGAATAGTTGACGTAAACACCACTGATATCCCACAAAATATGGTTGATAAAAATGCAAGTGTAAAGAAAGTTTCATTGCAGGTAGATTAAAATGAAAAATTTAAAGTTTTTTTTTTCATGGATCGCAGGCATGGCTAGCATTGTTGTAAGTGATTAAAACAAATGAACTCTTGTTATGCGTTAAAACTCGCTACTACGAAATCCGGTTAATTCCTGTTATATGCTAATACACCTACAATCTTGGAGGGTATTTGTCGATTATCGGGAAAATTGTGGATAAAAAATGGCGCGCTAATAAATGATCCTCCAGAGTTGATGTATGTATATTTAAAATGTAGCTTATAGTGCGTTTAAACTCGCGCGCTCACAGAGTGTAGCCACATCCATCCATTCATTACATGACCACCATCAATTCACAAACACACTCTAAACAAATATAGATTATGGGTGGTATTATCACTTGCGAAGCGAATGATTTTGGCGAAGCGAATTAAAAGGCAGAGAAGGTATTAAAAGTGTTCCGAGATGCAAAGAACTTGCACAAGCTGGTAAAAGCGAACACTCTTAATGCATATTAAAGTTGCGTCCTTCAATCCATTCGCTTCGTCAAACCGTTCGCTTCGCCAAATTCATTCGCTTCACAAGTGATAATACCGCCCTATATTTAACGACAGTGGTATGGAAATAGGACAGAAATCTATATTGTACTACATTAAAAAATATATATATTTTATGTAAATGTGCTCACTCTCACTATATACATAAATGCATACATACATATAAAATATACATTAACAAATAAAATGGGTAGCAATCAATGGTGTATGTAGCCCACTGTCGGGGTTTGCACTTTTACGGCGCGATTAATACAAATACAAGATACACTCACACAAATATGTATTTGAATTTAAATGTATGTAGCATAAATTCGAAATGAAAAAAGATCAATAAAAATCACTGCAAGTAAAGTAAATTATCTG